ATATATAAAGATAGATATTTATATATTCACTCAATTTAGGAAAATATAATACAAAATTTAATACAAGAAATATAGACTACACTAGCTAACATCACTTTTAGTGACAAGTAGCTTCTTATGTTTTGAGTCTTTTGTAGTTTTTTATTTTTTTGGTCAGACCTGCCATGATGGACGGGCCCGTTTTGTTTTTGAAGTGCTGGGGCGCCAAGCTCTAAGGACTGCCGTAGACTGAGGCCTAATGACAATTAAAATGGTCAGAGAGTGACAGAAGCACCTCCTCCGTCAAGAATAGTGCATAATTTATCGACGAGTTGAAGAAATTCATCGGTCTTCCGCGGTGCCCATAAGCTTCAGAAATAATAAATTTAGCAGAGAGAGAAATAAGGTCAACAGTTTTGCTGTAGAAATTAAATGTTAATCTGAATGTGATTAGCTTTTAAGTTTAAGAGAAAAATCATTAGAGCTGACCCGTTTTCTCTTTTCTTTTCAACACTTAACAGCTTTGACTTGTTAATCAGAGGAAATGATAACAGTAAAAATCCAGACACAATTACTGCTTGAAAAAGTAACAGAGCTGTAGAGAAATTCAAATTCTTGGTAGATGGCGTTGTGGGCAAGGAGAAGGATCTGTTAGTGAAAAAGAAAATGGAGGCTGCTCCTTTTTTTCTGTAGGTCCACTCTGTAATCACCCACTTGCCATCTACAGGGTAAAAAAAAGATAAAGGAAAGTCTCACATAGCACCCCATGGTCCAGTAGAAACATTTAAACACAGAGGAAGCACCCGCCTCTTGTATTTATTGCTACATCAATTAGCTACTGAGAAGGAAAGACAAGACTTAAATCAATCTTTAAGGAATAGAGTTTTAGTTGTGAGGCAACTCCTTTTTTCCCCATTTGACTTAGTAGTCCATCCACACCATAGGGTGGTATAGTGTAGTGGTCAGTAGTGTGGAGTAGTGGTTAGGCGACCCAACCAGGGGGAGGGCATGAGGACTTGGACAGTAACTGTACATCTATTTACATTCTTTCTTCTCTGCTACAGCTCTGTAACCTTTTCAGTGTCTTTCTCCAACATCAGCCACTTTTGGTAATGAAGATAATTTTGTAGAAAGTCCTATTTTAGGTCACACAGTTGCAGAAGTACCTTCATACTGACAGCATTTAAAAAAAAAGGGGGGGGGGGGGGGGAGGGAATGGCTGGAATTGGGAAATGTGGTTATTAGCTTTCCTAGCAAGAGTTATATGAAGACAGATACCACTCTCATGTCTGTGCAGGAATCAGCTGTTTAGCTTAGCTTAGCATAAAGACAGGGGAGACAACTAGCATAGCACTGTTCACAGCTACATGGCTATGTAGCCTATAAGCACTGCGAAAGATCATGCTATATCTCATTTGTTTTGTTTTGTTTTGTTCAATTCAAAACCCCTGTTAAACAACAACTGGACAATTTAACACTTTCGTTGGCTCCTGCTTCATTTTAAAGGATAAGGCATAAGGCCAGTCATTTTCTATTTTAACTATTTCCAACACTCCCCATACAGAGATGAAAATCAACTCACTGTTAATGTCTATCAATCATGTCAGTCCTGGATTAGCTTAGTCTGTGCCATAGACCTCCACTGTTGTTCAGAAACTATTAAAAACACATCAGAGAAACACACCACTGCACTGGGTGACATGTTTCCTCATTACAAAACATCAGACCCCTGGTATTTATTAAGACTATCCAGAGATCTTGCGTCCTTACTTCAGACACCATAAAAAATTACAGCTGCTCGGTGCCTTTGGGGCAATATTTTAAATAAAATATTAGGGTCTGGTGTTTCCTAATGAGAAAAACGTGTCGACCAGCGCAGGGGTGTGCTTCACTGATTTGTTTTTAATCATTTATGAACAGCAATAAAGGTCTATGGCGCAGGCGAATAAGCTGATCCAGGAGTGACAAGCTGACAGACATTAGCAGAGAGTAGCGGCTAATCATTGTTGGTTTTAGCCTTTGTATGGAGAGTGTCATACTGTTAATATAGAAAATGGCCGGCCTTATCCTTTAAATGTACAGACACGAGAGTGACATGAGAGCCACTAATATTCAACACATACATGAATATCAAATATTCTTAGTTTTACTTTAAAGCCATTGTGTCCTTTTTTGGGACTGACTTTGCTCTTATAAGTATTGATCTTCTCATCTAACTCTTGGCAAGTCAAAGAATAAGCATATTCCCCAAGTGTCAAACTATTTATTTAGGTCAAATGTTTCAAGGAGTGTCCAGGAAATCTGCAATAGCTACTCCTTTAAATGTTACTGTGTAAAAAGGAAGATACCGTATGATGCAAATACATCTTCGAGGTCCCAGTGTTGCATATATTGCAGAACAAACAGAAGTGCTTTCTTTGCCTTTGATATCACATACTGTTTGTGTATTATTGTCACAAGAAGATGACATGAAGCTCATCTTTTGTGTTTGACCTCTCCCTCACTTGAGTTTTTTTTTCTCAGGCACACGCGTGCATTACACGCAAGCATTACAAAATACTGATTAACAAGTCAAAGCTGTCCACCACACCACAGGCGTCGCTGATTTAAAAACCACAAATTCTGCTCTGCTCTCTCTGAGCCTGCAGCAACACTAGGTGGGGGGGGGAGGGCAGGGAATGTCAGGAGGGACGGGTGAAAGCAGTACAGTCGGTGGTCTTCGGGGGGAGGGGGTTCAGGGTGTACTGCCGTTGTGGACTGGGCTCATATAGGTAGTTGGCAGCGTTGGCATTTGCACATGGAAGCTGGGGCGAAGATAGAAAAACAGATGAGGGAGCTGGCCGAGAAATTCAAGGCCGCGCCATGTCTAACAGTGGTGCGGCTGCAGTCTGTGGGAATGTGTGGCTGTGTAGCTGGTGTCGCTGGAGCTGCTCTGGAGGCTGTAGTGGTCTTCCTCCTCACCATCACTGATGCTGTCCACGCTGTCCGCTTCACCGGGGGTGAACTCCATGCCCTCGATGTCCACCTCTGCATGCGAACACAGAAGAGAATACACACAGTTATTTTCAGTACTGTTTAAAAACAGAGCCAGAGAGAGGAAAAGTGTTTATTCCCACCCAGCCATGGGGATATTTATTAGGGAGCCTGCTGCGCCTCTGGATTAAACCCAGATTTAGGCAGCTATTACTTCTGGCCAAACAGGCAGATCTTTGTGCTCCTATAGTAAATCCCTATCCATTCATAAACAACTGCATGTTTATTTACGCCATTCGGGATTAGTAAACATACAGCAGGACAGGCTGAACAAGCACCTTTAAACTTGAAAACTTAACTTAATGCTTGAAAACATGAGTGTGACGAGTACATTGAAATGCAAAAGAGTAATTAGCTGTTCTGAACAGCGCCTGGGAGAGAAGTCCAACCCTACAGGCACTTCTGTTAGAGCGTACTGATGCCTAAATCTCATGGCTGGGGTTTCAGGATCATGCATTCAAATAGAACCAGCAGTAATTGACTAAAATCCTGCCCTTGGCATCAGAGGAAGACAGATTACTCTTTGTATTTATGTCCCTTTTGCAGCTGAAATGTGACAAAGCTGTTGAGCTGCTGCTGCCTGCACTCATACGCAGTCACACCAACATTTCCCACCATCAGCGGCCACAGAGGAGATGTAGATGCCTTGTCAATCTGAGGGGTTAACCTTTGACCCTGGGGCATCACCTGCAAGCAAAGCCAGGGCTAATCACCGGCTTTTCACCTGACACACGGTGTGGCTCAGGGTTGATCAGGCAACAGCCAAACACCTCTAAGTTTGTTTACACATGGATGAAAGCACCAATAGTGTTGTGCTCAGCAAACAGATATCCAGTAGATATCTGTTTGCTGAAGCTTTACAGCAGGCTGGACCAGTCTGAGCAATACCTTGGTGGGTAGATGTAAATCTTTAATCAAAGAATTTTAGAATATGGCTCACACACTTCTATATGCACTCCAGAAAGTTGACTACAGATGTTTGTGTCAGCACTGATGACAGACCTCAAATTCCCATAATAAAATTGAATATGCTGGAGTTTATGCAGATTTCTAACAGAGTTCTTTATCGTTTAAAGTCAGCTTACCTTGCTCGGAGTCGGTGGAGATGGTGGAGCCCATGCTGTCGGTGCGGATGCGTTCAACAGATCCTGACACAGAGAGCTGCTCCAGGCAGCGTTTGAGGTAGCGGTGCTCTCTCTGCAGCTGCTCCTTCATGTTTAAAGCCTTCCTGTCCTGCTCCTCCAGCTTCTGCACAGACACAAAAAAGAAATGCTAAGAATCAATGACACAAAATATTGCTAGCTGTGTTGTCTCCTGCCAATCTCACCCCTGCCACGGTTAAAAACACTGTATTTAACAACAACACTTCAAAATGTAATGGGGAAGTGGCCAGGTGGCTCTATGAGGTTAGAAAGTAAAATTAACATAAACTGTAAAAGTTTGACTCAGTGTGGGATTATATTTTGCAATTATTTGCATATGAAACTTTTCGGTGGTGAATCAAAGCGAAGTTGAACACGTGTGACCCTCTGATACGAGAAGACACGACGGTGACGAGAATCAGCGCAGGTCGTCTGAGCATAGAGGGCATGCATGATAAACAGGAAATGAAGGGTTAAAACTTGCTCTGTCTGGATTTTCCACCAACCACGCTTGCTGCTTGTAAACAGCAAAATCAGTACAGCATGTCCTAAGTTGTATTTACATTTACAGCCTATCTTCTACACAGCCATCTTAGCAATCGAATAACATTGTGAAAGCACCATTAAGTTTTTATAAGTACCTCTGTGTCAGAATCTTTTATGCCACTTGGTGTGTTTGTGTACGTGTGTGTGTGAGCTGAAACAGTTAATGAACCATGGAGGAGAATTTGGCCTTTAACAAACCAAACATCCAGTTGTCTCCTTTCACATATCTGAAGATCAGCCCCCCAAACGTCCTATATTCCACCATGTTGACTCATTTGCTATGTGTTTTTTGTTTTTTTTTTTGTCTCTCTTTTCAGTCCTGGGAGCAATTTTTTCTGGCAGGCTCTAAACTGCTCTGATTGGAAGATTAGAAAACAATATCCCGCTTAACAAAGGCAAAAGAGAAAACCAAACAGCCACAGGAGAAGTACAGCACGGGTCTAGATCTCATGGAGCTCAAGAAGAGGACAAACTACTGTAGCCTTTCAGAGGAGAATTTAATCTGGATTTACTCTAAAATAATAAATAATGTCAGGAAATAAAAAAAAAAAAAGATCATAATTTACCAGAGCCCAGTTTTGTCTGACCAAACTTTTAATATCCAGAGCAAATCCTCACATTATTAATGAATATCAAACTTGTTTAATTTTCTATTTAATGACTAACACTACTAACTTTCTAATCAGGTTTAAAACAGAAACAGGAATGTTCTGTCTAGAGCATCTGATCTTTGCACGAGCCTGTGCCGTTCACTACCTTGATGTGCATCTTGGCCCTTTTCAGCAGGCTGAGTGTGGTGTGTCTCGTGCTGTCTGGACCCAAAGGCACCAGCTTCTTCAGCTGCTCCAAGTACAGCCGTAGTTTGGCACGTCTGCAAGCACACAAGCACAGGGTGACTCAGCACACATTCACCAGCAGAAAAAGTGAGCGGGCACCTACAAAAAAAAAAAAAAAAAAATAGCTGCTCCTCATTTTCTGTGACTTTCCTTTGCTTGTACTGGAAAATATGTTAGCCAGTGAGAATGGTGACCAAATACTACACGATCGGGAGTGATGATCTGCAGGACTGAGATGCTGCACGATCAAAAGGCTTTTTGAGGGGAGGGTATTATTGTTGTGCACAGTTTCACTTGCTACACTTGCTGAGATCTTGCAGAGGCTCCAGTGAACTAAGTTCAAATCCCTGTGACGATTCACATTATAGTCATTTTGCATCCATGGCAAAAAGCAGAGTGCACCATAGTGTTGGAAAAGTAACTGAATTTATTAAAATAGTAAAACTCTGAATCTTTTACTGACCTAAATTTACTTTCATCCTAGTTTCCAGTAAGTAAACAGCCTGGGCTTTATATATTTAACTGAGGAAAATAGTTTTCAAACCCTTTTCTGTTTTGGCCGCCTGTGTGACTACATCTGGTAGAATCTGATAGTGTGCTCACAGAATCGGGCAGAAAGCTCATATGTCCATATGTTAACCAATGAAAAGCAGGAGAACTATGCACTGTCTAATGGTGCATTAATGTTCTCCATCTCACCTCTCTATTTGACAGATCTTGTGTTTGGCTGATGCACAGAATGGAAACCATGCTGTCCTCTAAAACTGAGGGCGAGTCATTAAAACCACACCGGGTACAGAAATCATTACTGACCCAAACGGTGGCCACGAGAAGCTTCTCATCTGTTCTGGTGATTCTGTTGGTTCATCTCAGAGCACAAACTGTGACCCTGCCGAAACCCTACAGGCCAACAAGTAAACACTCACTGGATGCAGCTTTTGGATGTTCAATTCAGTCACAGTGACGACAAGGCGGAGTTAATCTCTGAGTGCACACGACTGTATGTTTCAGAGGACAGATTCAGATTACCTCCCCTCTCTGTCCTTAGTCCATTCAGATTTGTTCATAAAGGCTTTTCAACCCTCCAGTAGTCAAGCTAGTCCGTGAACTATTTCTTTGTCCTGACCTAGCCTTCCCCCCTTTCTCCCTTTCCTTTGGCTAACTCCGGCTGAACGATAAACAAACTCCAACAATGCAAGGTCTCCAATGGCCATCGCTGCAACCACAATAAACCCAATCAGAGAAATGAAGCTGTGTGAGGCTGGCTGCACAGCAGAGCACACAGTCAGTGCACAAAAACACATGCACACATACAAGCTCTTTTCCCTGTTTTGTTTTGTTTTTTTCAGGAAGGGCGTTGTCTGTGTTTTTTCAAACAAAGTGTTTCATTTAAAGGCCAGTCAGAGTCCGCCTCTGGGCAACAAGACCCCAGGGATTAAATCTAATCATCTAAAGTCCTGATAACTGTAGCTTTTACTTTTGTAGCTGTAGAAATCAACTGCATTTAGCAGAAAATGCCCTAAGTACCATCCCCACCTCTCTACAGGTGCATAAGGGCGGTCACAAAAAAGGGCATGTGAAAGTGCTCTCGTTCTTTTATTTTCTCCTCTCCCCGAGCCACATGAAGCACTTGGAGTCCAGCCAGGGGGGAGCGGGCAGGAAGGAGCTGGGGGTTTGAAGCAGAGGGGGTGTTTTTTTGGATCTGAGCGAGGTCCGAAGGAGTGGATGACTTTCTCTTTGGGTTGAAAAAAGGGCTCTTTGAGCACAGTGTGCTCAGCTGCACTAGGCAGCGCTCCATACACATCATCCAAAGAGTAACTTGAGCCAGTGGGAAACCATCTTGTACCCCGCCACCCCACCCCATAATGAAAAACAAAAACAAGGCGTTCCCTAAATACTCCGCCTGACTCCCCACCTTCACCCCCACAAAAACATTTTAATGGCTTATTCATCGCACACCCCCACCTGTGTGCTCACCACATATTTTACCTGGCATGTGGCAGACAGCAAAAGTGTGCACAGATCCACTTTCACCATCACTTTTACCACATGAAAATAAAATCAATGTCTCTACTGTTTGGTGCTCCAGCCTTATAATACACCGCTTCTTTTCATTAGACCCTAAATCAAAAAGAAACAACTTGCTACTCAGCAATCATGCCGACCTGGGGGCACCTTACATGTTTTCTGGAGCTGTGCACAACTTTCTGGAAGAATGGTGATATAGAGTGCCGTGGTAGTGAGTCCTAAAACCCAGAACTGAGTCAGCACTTTTGCACTTCCGGTTCCCTCACCCTGAAGTCAGTGGGTTTTTGGTGACATGCCTGAAATAAGGGCTGTGGTTAACACAAGGCCAATACATTTTCATGTTTTGTTTCTACAAAATAAAATGCAACAGTGAATACCCCGCTCGTGATTTTTAGTGCAGTGCATCTACAGCAGCGTGTGTACATCTGGCAGATGCATATTGAAAGATATTTACGTATACTCCACTGCATTGGTGGCCGTGACCAGTTTCACAGTGTCCACGTACAAATAGCGCTTCACACACACACTGTCCCGGTGACATTAGCATGTCCTGTGACTGCCCTGCGCTCTGGGATTGCGGATCTATAGGCACACAGAGAGCCGCGGGGCCTGAGAAGACAAGCCAGGGCAAACAACAGGCCCTCACCCCTCACTCGCTGCACTGTTTAATAAGCTCCCTGCAGCCTGGCGCATTCCTCAACCCATACACACAGGACCGAGTGGCTTGTGTGGCACAGAGCCAGACCTGCCAAACTAAGGTCAAAGGTCATCAGAAACACCACTGCAAAGTTTCCTCCCACTGCCGGCACCGACTCTGTTCTCTCCTTGTTGGGTTTAAAGGAAAGGATGTGGAGGTTTTGTCCCTAAATTAAAGCGATCTAATCTGTGCCTTTACGGGCTTAAGTTTTCATAGTTTGACTATCATTGCACAGTAACATTGCACTCATTGGGGTACTTGCTGAGATCTTAGTAACAGCAACCACACTAAAAGGGAGTCTGACCCACAGTATTTACTAAGTTTTATACACCCACAGTTTAATCAGACTTCTTTTTAAACGATGTCGTGTTTCTAGCAGTTCCATTACTGATAAGAATAATATGACAAAAAAAAAGTTGCAATGAAGTAGAATTACATTCAAATTTTGGTTTTATCCTGAGTGGACAGCAGTTTAGTAATACTGCTATTATTAAACTGTTAGACACAGTATGTTATTATGCAACAAAACACTTCTTATGAAGCAATTGAGATGAATGTTTTTCTGAACCTTTTCAGAGTAGAAACTTCCTGCAGGTGGCCCCTGCCCTGTAATGTGAAGTGAACACGGGGCAGTGTTGCGTGAGTGTGGATCACCACATTACAGGGCAGAGAGGCTGTGGGATCTGGGGTTGCCAGTGGACAGGCTCCACATCTGGCAGGCAGGTTTCTGGAGAGTACGAAGCAGATGGAGGGAGGTTTGAGGTGGTGAGGGACCCTAAACAGGCGCCAGCCGAAAAAGCAACATGCACACAGACGCACAACTAAGCCTTTTGGCAGCCCACTCCGTCAGCCTCACTGTCACCTTCCAGCCCTCTCCAAACATATTTACATGTAACAGAGATCTGAAAAACAAGGGGGTAGAAAAGTAAAATGGCAAAAAGCGGCTTCTGAGACTGGCAGGTTGTGGTGGTTTGCCACACTTACGCCTACGGGAGCCAGACATGAGACGAGAGGCTTTTAGAGGCTTTTATCTTGTTGACACTAAATGTCAGTCGTCTGGGACGAGCCATATTTGTTTTCTATCATCAAGGATGCCGCACCCACCCACTGTGCGCTGTGACAACTGTGAGGCGAGACAGATGGATCCAAGTTCCTCATAAACAAATTCTCCTGAAGGCAGGGACATGGAGCTCTTGCTCTCACATGACTCTGCTCTCACACGCAAGCAGCAAACAGAAACCTGAACACACCATAACAGCAGCACAGACAGAGGGAGGGGCCTAGCTGCTTCACTACTCGAAGAATTACTTTAAAAAAAGCATTGCATGCATTAGTTAAACAACAGGACACTGCAGGTTCAGGCAGTTTGTTGTACACTCATTGTAGTAGTATTTCCACAGCGCCTAGTAATTAGGTTCTTCAGATTCTTTTTCCATGAACTGAGACAATCCCCTGTGCGAGGCAGGTCGTTTCAAACCTTCTTCAGCACAGCCAGCTTACAGAGAGCTGTTACCAGAAAAACAGATAACAAATAGAATTTAAAGAGAGCGTGTGAGCGAGAGAGAGAGAGGGAGGGAGGGTCAAAAGTAAAGAAAAACTTCCCTATGCGTCTGTGAATCTTTTCAACACAATGTCAAAATGACAGACCTGGACATTAAGTGCCTTCCGCTGTGTGCACTGAAAATTACATCTGCAAATGTTGAACAGACTAGCGGAGACAAGTTCAGTGAGCTCAATAGACACATTCCCCTGCCACGAGAGGCTCTGGCTTTATAATGGGTCCTTGTCGATGATTAACACACGGGAATCTGGTGGCATGATAGAAGATTCTTGCTTCTTGCTGTTGACTGGAACAGTGTCGCTGTTTACTTCAAAAAGGAAAACAGTGGGGCAAGGTCAGAATATATTTGAGGGGTGAGAAGAGACACTGATACACTAACCTTTGCTTATTCTTACAACTTCCCTCATGTTTTACGTTTTTTGTGAACTGCAATATACTGTTACCTTTACATGCCACTAAAAATGATTAAAATAAAACAACAAGGAAAAAAAATCAGCCTTTGTTTTACCTGTAGATTTGTGACAACCAAGGGCTCACAAGCTAAAATGGCTGCAAACTGCTGCTGTAGAACTTAAACCAAGTAAACTAGAGATGATGCCTACAGCTCTAATCCACCCTCATAATCAAAACATATTGGCTTACGACTTGACAAAGAAAAGAGACAAGCAGCACCAAATGTGGATATAGTTGAAGAACATTCTAGTAATTCTGGGTCTGCTAGTATTTGACCGCATCTACCCACAAGCTTT